AGCTTATTCCAAGCATCACAAGACACAAGTTTGGGCTACACCCTGGATGGGATTCCAGTGCATTGCAGGGGCATCTGAAGACATTAAAGAGTTTTTTCTCTGTGGTCTGTGTTTGGAAACAACGGGGGGGGGGGCGCTCACACAAGCCTGTGGCCTTGGCTTTCGTAATAAAGCTCCCCGGTGGAGAGTTGATCCATTATTTATCCCTTGTGTTTGATTCACATTCACGCTTGGAGTTTCCCCATATTTTTCATAATTAGCTTGCCATTTAAATATTGATGACCCAGAAGGCGAGCGTCTCCCGTGAAAGACCAGAGCAGCTTTCCAGCTCCTTTCATGACCAGTCAGGTGACCTCTCAACCTCCTCAGGACTTTACGATATTGTCCTTCAGATCTGACGGGTCACATGTGCTGGTGCATTTCTGTGCTTCTGCATCCGTGTTTCTGCTCAACTTTTTTTTTCTGCCGTCTAGGTCCAGCCTGCTTCTCTTTTTTTGGTGCATCGCACCTACACCACACGCCAGGCCTGACTTCATCACATTTATTAGTTTTATTTATTTGCCAGATGCTTTTATCTAGAGTGAGAGCAACTGGGAAGACAAGGTCAGACAGTGCCAGAAGCAATTGGGGTTAAGGGCCTTGTTTAGGGGCCCCAGTGGTGAATCACCAATCATGGGATTTGACCCAACGACCTACTGATCACAGGCACAGAGACATAACCTGCTGAGCCACACACCACCCTACTGCTAGTATCGGGAACCCGATGCTGGCATCTCTGATTTGTTCATAACCTGGAGTAAATTCCGGGAAGAAATCCAGGCTGTCGACCCTGGTGTGAGGCTCCCTGTCACCCCCAGCCCGCCCACCCCTGTCCCCCTACACAACAGACAGGTGTCTGGGAAGCCTCTGGCTGATCAGTCATCATAATTACTGCCCCATCTTTATTTGGGATGCTCTCACTGGCCTTGTTTCTTTTTGCAACAGGTGATTTATTAAGTGTGAAGATGTACTGCTTTAAATTACTGCTCTCAGGCTGTTCCCCCTGAGTCCTGGTATAATTTGTTCCCACGAGATGGTTGGAGCGGGCAAATTTTTAATCATTAACGTTTTCTCACATTCCCCGTTCAGGAGGCGTTCGGGTGGAAAAAGCATATTTTTCTGCTTAAAAAATGCTATGAAAAAACAAAGCGAGGGCCTCATTGGTTGTATTTCGCCGCTCGTTGCTGGGTGAATAGCGCGTAAATGGAGCAGTGCAGGGGTGATTCAAGGATATCTGAGGGTGGGGGAGGGTCATAATACTTATAGGTGGGCCAACCTTATTATTAGCCAATGATATGTTTTGAATCAGTGAGTGACAAGGAGTGTGCACTTCGGGGGCCAATCAGCATCCAGCTGGGGCCAATGGCCCCGCCTCCTCCGTGTTTGTCCTTTGCATTGTGTGAGGGTCTCTTTCACTCTGTCAGGCACCCAACACTAAAGCTAAGGTGCTAAACCTTCTGCTACTTCTAAATCCCGGTAACAGAATCCCTCA